ATTAAAACTAATTATTTTAACAGTGTTGTTTAAATTTTAAATAACACTAATACAATGGGGCCATCCATAAAGGACGTCTTCCAAATAGAGGGGGGGGGAGAGGGGGTCGAGATAAAAAGTACAAAAAAAGGACAAGGGGAGGGGAAGAGGTTGTCAGAAAAGGACGTTATTTTTAGATTTTTTATTTTAGTTGAATTAACATGAAAAACTATGTAAATATGTGTTTTTAAGAAGATAATGTATAAAAATATTTTTAATTTTATTTTTCAAAGGTGTAGCAGCAGACTCAAACATTATTGCGAAATAAAAAAAAAATTTTTTTTTTTTTTGGGGGGGGAGGTTAAAATAGGGGGGTCATGATTTTATGACGTCCTTTTCAAGGGGGTATAAGGAAAAAGGACGTCTTTTATGGATGGCCCCAATGACATTTTAAAACAATTAACTATTTAAAATGATGCACGGTTTCCGTAAGCACCACATCAGAACACGCGCAGATTTTTTCAGGTAAATGTCTTATAATATATATGTATTATGATACATGAACAACACACCCACTCAAACACACACCCACACACAAAGATACACACATATACATATATATATACACATACACACACACACACACATTCAAACACACATATATATATTTAAGAAATAAACACATTTAAATAAGTAAATATAATAGGTATACATAGTTATTCAACCTCTTGATTATAACAAATTACTGATACACAATCATACTAGCGTTTACAAAATGAGTTTAAACTGTTTATTAAATTAAAAAAAAAAGTTCTTGAAGAAGCAATATAAATCGTTTGTTTATTATATTTAAATAAAGTAATAAATTATGATTTACTATTTTATTATAAATATTAATTTACTACTTTATTCAAATAATGATTTATTACTTTGCTATAAATATCAATTTATTACTTTATTATAAATCATAATTTATTACTTTATTCAATATAATAAACAAACGATTTATATTACTTCTTATTTCTAAATTAAAAATAAGATTGTTTTGAGAAATCTTTAGTCTAATGTTGTTATATCAATCAAAAACAATTAAAAACGAACTAATTAAACTATTTAGCCAAAGAAAAATTATTTTTCATTGGCCTAATATTTAAATTAGATTTAAATGCATTTTCAAGATTAACTTCCTAACAACAACTAAAAGCAAAACGACTGATAACTAAATAATAAACGAGTTTCGGGTGCGCCATTTTAATTCATGGAAGATAAAAAGCTCTTTCCGCGACAATCTACCTTCTTAAATGCCAACAAACCAATGGACTTCGATGTTTTATAAATTATTGACGGCCACATTGACACAGTTAAAAATTATGAGTTAATGGTCTCTCGTTATGAATGTCCTGCTGCAAGATCTTTTTTCGTAAGTTTTATTAACAGTTAAACTCATTTTGTAAACGCTAGTATGGTTGTGTAACAGTAGATATTTATCTTTGTTATAATCAACCCAGCCAACACTCTTATATGGGCCCCTTGTCTGTTCAACAAGGTTTACATGGGCCGATAAAGGCATGGAATTGCGTTAAAGATTCGACATGGGAGCTATATGGGCCGCTTATCAAATAATACGATTTTTATAACTTATGGGTTGCCCATATTGGACCCACGTTGGTTTTTTTATTGCGAACCCTTGTCATTATTCTGAACGGCTACGGTTTAAACTGTTTTATATTGCGCCTTAAGTTAAAAATCGAGGCATTGTGAATATCTTAATAATTTTATCAAGTTTTTTGCTTAATACTTATAAAAAATGAGCAATAAAGTATATAATGAGCAAAGTCAAAGACGTCACATTCGTGCAAGGGTAGATAAACATCTTAGAGTTGCTGCTAAAGAGTCGTTTGGTTATCAAACAAATCCATCAGATTCTGATCTAAATTGTATTAATGTTGTATTAATTGTCTCCTCTTTTACATTTACATCAGATGATCCTCTATCTCCAATGCGCCTTAATGAGGGAAATTTAACTATAAATTTACAAGCTAATGGTTTTTCTGTTCAATATAAAGATGATTCGTCAATGTTTAATGAAAATGCTAATCTTCATGGTGAAAATTTCGATGACTTTGAAGATTTTGGTACTGATTCTCAAAAATTTGAGAACATTGAAAAAGAGCCAATTTCCGCTCGTGAGAGTTTAGCTATATGGGCAACTCAGTATAAAATTTCACTTGCTGCAACAATTGCTTTACTGGTTATTCTTAAACCTTTTATTTTAGACATACCATCAGATGCTAAAACTTTACTATCTACTCCAACACGGCTGTGTCACGCAATGTAAAATTGGGCCTTACGTCACAAGTTTAGCAAAAATAATTTCCGCATAAAATTTTTTTAAAAATTTTGGCATATAAAGTATAAAAATTCAATAACTTTAAAGTAATGGTTTTTTTTTTTTCTATAAACGTTTTAATCTTCGAATTAAAAGAATTTACAAGAACTTACTTTCTTCGTTAAATAAATATTTACCTTAAGCGAAATAAAAATAAACATAGTTAAAATATTTTAAATGATTTTGGATGACTTTTCTGTTTATGGCGATTTTTACGGAAAACCTGTCTTGGGCCAACCAAGATTCCCTAACATAGCTACATGGTTGATGGTTGAAATTTAGAATATTTATCAATGAATGTCTATTCTATCAGATTCTTACGTCATCCGTGTGATTTTATTACTATAACTTAATTTTTAATGCATTTATATTTTTTAATTTATTTCTTTTAAATGTAAAATATTAATTTTTTGATGAATGACGTGAGTTATTGAAATTTCGACCTTTTATGCAGATGAAAATATAAAAATTATTTTATGTACCTCTTGCTATGTTAGGGAATATGCTTTTAAACTTGGTATGTTTTACAACAAATTGTTTTAATTTTACGCTTAAACTTGTGTATATTTCAAAACGATGACGTAACTACCCAAGCTATTTACTAACGAATTTTATTGAAATAACTGATTCGGCGAGACAAATTTTGGAGGTATAAAGTAAACAAAGTTACGCGGAACTTTAGAATAACATTAGAATTCAGCAAGATTATAAAGAGTATTTTAGTTACAGAATGGAAATAAAACTAATACCAATTGTATGTACAAATATCATTTACTACTTATATAACATATACCAGTATATTAACTTAAAAAAATATATTTATGACAATCCACAAAAACGAGTTTTTTTAATTGCCTTTATTGTTATGTATATTTATAAAAAAAAAATGGTGTGTTATTTTTCTACAGAAAAGTATTAATATTAATCTAAGTGTAAAGAAATTATACGACCGAAAGCAAAAACAAATAAAACCTTTTTTTTTAATCTTTTTTTAAAAAAAAAGTTTTCTTTAAAAAAAAAATATTATTATTTTTTGCGTATTTTTTTTTCCCTGGTAAAATAATCTTGAATACTAATTTCTCTTTTTAAATAAACTCAATATAAAACCTTTTTTCAAATATCTTTAAAAATTTTTTTTCTTAGTCGGAGAAGTCTGAGAGGGGAGGAGGCGTTGGGCGTGGCATCATCCCGCCCCTAATCTCAATTTATGCACCAGTTATATATGCCGTTAAGTAAGAAAATTTAATTAAAACTTTTTATCACAAAATATAATCAGCGTTTTTTAGGTTAAAATATGAGATGTAACATTTCACTACGAAGGTGTTAAAACGTAACAAAGACATCCACCCTTTCAATCTAAAATAGACCACAAATATTTTGAAATGGAGTCGAAGTAAATGATAACAACTTTTTGTGTATAAAGATAACAAATTTAATCAGAAAAATACTCTTTCGTGTGAAAAACTTGTATTTTTTTAAGGTTACGATGGTGTTCCGATACCCCCTCTGGTCCTCTAAACACCCCTTTTATCTATAGAGCTATATGAACTTGTAGCCTACTCTTACATCTATCTTTTGATACCATGGTATAGACATTTGGATAAGATTAAATAAAGTTATAACAAATTCAGTGGAAAAAAAAATTTTTTGGAAGCAGTTTTTTCAAGAAATCCATATAACGATAAGTTGTTCGTTTTTAATAACTTTTTTACCATTAAAATACTTTATTGAAGGGCTTTCTAATGATATATAACATTTTAGTATATGCTCAATTAAAAAAATCAGTCCACGTACCTACAATATTGTATTGCATTAATATATTAATGCAATAAAATTTAACATATATTGCCATTCAAAAAAGTTATTAATAGAAAACAATGACACATCACAAAGTAAATTTATCATTATGATAAAGCAAATTTATCTTCATTAAAAGTAAATTAATCATTAAAATAATCTTAATAAAACATGCAATTTCTTGAATGATTGTTAATAATACTATATTGAGGTATTATATGCTTTTACTATAAAACTGCATTGAGTCATTACAAATTCCACCAATAGTTATGTTTTAAATAAAATGCAACAAAACCTAACATTGTCAATAACATCATAAACCCTACCATCAGGATGAGATTAGCCATTTTTAATTTTTCAATTTAGGCTGCCTCGATATCAATTATTTTTAAACTATTCAAACATAGGTAAGCCCACGCTAAAACTAGATGGGTCCTGAAAAGTGTTTTTTAAGTTTTGTTTTATTGTGTTTGTCCACATTGAAACCTACTATCAAACACACTTATGACCAGTATGAGTCAACCTAAAATAGACCTTATGTGGACTTGCCCACTTCTAAGTTTATATACGGGAAGCACATATTAAAACCAGACGGGTCCCGTAAAGTTGTGCTCGCTATTTGTTAATTGTGTTTGCTCATATTGGTCCCACAAAAAAACAAAACATCAGACACACTTAGGACCAAAGTGGGGTTACCTACAATTGGGTCTAAGTGAGCTTGCTTACAGGGATGTTTGACATAAAATATTTGGTAAAATCGTAAATTTAATATTTACATGCATTTTTCTAAACTGTTAGTTTTCAACCTCCCACGTTAATCATATCTCATTGCCTCATTAATTTTTTATAATACTGTTAAACGTTTTTAATCGATAGAAAATTTAAGTGACAAAAATGTATTTTTTTAATACACTATTTTGAAAATTTCAGCGTAACTTATTACATAATTTTAAATATTAGTTTTAGTCGAGAGTAGATAATTATTTTGTTAACCATATGCCGAACATTCATATCCTATTTGCTTTTTGCTTACTGAGATAATATAACCGGGGTGGCCTAAACATATTTGGGTGTGGGTTATTTTACTTGGTAAAACTCATATGCATAATACACAAGAGCTTGGGGAGTTGCAAAACAAAAAGTTATTGAAGCGAGTATAAACTTATTTATAAGATTTTTATGCCAAACTTTAATGAGATGTTAAGATTAATATTATTTAATCATGAGGCTATTTAAACGTTAGAAAAGATATTGTCAGCAACAAGATCTTAGTGACAATTTTTTACTGATCAAACCAAGTGTTGGTAATGCATAGTTTCTATACTTAATCTTTATACGCAAAGCAGAGGAATTCTCTGCGGTCTTTAAATAATTAATTCGTTAAGCGTTTTTAAGTCTATATGAGTTTGATAATAAAATGTGGGAATTCGAATCACTGAGTTTTGATTTCTAAATATCTTATAAGAATCTTTTTATAATTTCAGCGTAAGAAGGTTGTAATGCAACATGTAATTTTTTTAAAAATAACTTTAAATAAATTTTAAATACAAATATTTAACATAGCTCTTCATTTAAATACTTCGCATGGTTCCGCACGGATGCTTGCTAATATGCGTGCGTATTTTCAGACTTTAAAAGACAAATAAAAATGGTACCAATGGAACCACTTACAGATATTGATTTTACAACCTGTAAACAAATCTATAAACAAAAAATTAGGACAATGAAGCATAAACAAAAAGAGCCATCAAAAAGGGTAAAAAATAAACAAAAAATCATTATAAGATATTGTGTAAACAAGATAACAACGTTTTGAGAAAGACGAGATTTAAAGTTCAACAGATGAAAGTCCGTTTAACTGCATGGTTTCGATTTTTAAAAAGATTCTAACGGTTGTCAATACCCCTAAAACATGCAGAACTTCTTTTATTGTAATATTACATTGTATATTAGTGTGGTGCTTTTTTTTTTTTTTTTTTATTGTAATATTACTTAGTGTGGTAAAAAATTTTATTTGGTTAAAAATAAAAGTAGTACATTACTTACATTAAAGTTAGTTAGTTACATTAAAGTAGTTACATTGAAAACATGTCTTTAAAATTTCATTATAATTAAAGATGTAATGGGCCATCTTTTATCAAAAAAAGAAACGGGGTTTATATACTACCCAATTTTTTTTATTTTAAAAAGTTATTATGAATCTAAATGATGATTTTTTAAACATTTATTTTATGCAACACGGGCATTTGCCCCTCCCAATAATTTTTTAAATAAACAATTTTGAAAAAATTGACTGAAAAAATGAATTAAAAAAAAAAAAGGTCTTTAAAACCATTTCTGGGCCCCTTAATTAAGCAATGCCCCTCCCCCCCTCCAACATAATTTTTGTTCTTACAGGCCTGATAAAAAAATAAAAATAATAAAGAATTCAAACTTTAATGCAGGAAAAATTCTTTAAAACCAATTTTGATCTTTTCTTTTTTAGTGTGAAGATTTTAGGGCAGTTTTAGTTTGTTTTAAACACAACTTTTTTACATATCATTATTATACATATATATTTCACTATTATTTCACTATTACTTTTACATTACACATTATTACTTATTACACTATTACCAGTGCCGGATCAAGGAGGGCTGGGGGGCTATAGCCCCGGGCCCCGCAAATATACGGGCCCCAAAAAATTTAAGAGTAACTTTTTTTTTTAGTCATTTTTAGGCTCTGGCCCATAAAAAAGCCTCCAAAAACAAAAATCGCTCCGGGCCCTAAGAAGTCTTAATCCGCCACTGACTATTACTATCACATTATTAATACTACTACTATTCCACTATTATTATTTCATTACCACTATTACTTATTACATTTCACTATTACTATTATATATATTTCAATACTATTTAAGTAAATATTTTTGTTCAGCAACTCTTCTATTAAAATAGTTAGATTCTGATTTAGTGTTATCGATTTCTCTTCACGGACATTTTTTAGATCAAAAGCTACGGGTTACTTAAAAATTTGACCTAGTCGTTTAAAAGAGTAGACGAATATGTTTCCGTTTTTGACAGTAAACTTTGTTTACATTTAAGGCAAAAAAAACATTTTACGCTTGAGCTTAGTTTCTAAAAAATAATTTTTTGGAATTCTTAGTTCTATCTTTTTAGTATATTGCAAAATTAATTATTATTTTTGTCTTAATATCTTTTTGGAATCATTCTCAATTTTTACTTTGGCAATCATATTCATAATGTCAGATTTGATTCGAAAATATTAATAAAAACACGCGATTCTATCGGTAATAAATATACACCGTTACTAAAAAAAAGTAAAGTTGAAAGGTAATAATTTAAAAGTCAAAAAGTACACTCATAATTATAACTTTGCATAAAAAGTTTTTTATATTGTTTATTATTAAAGAAGTGCAACAACAACAAATTGCAAATTTGTTGTTGTTGCACTTCTAAAAAAAAAACAAAAAAAGCAAAGTTTCACAACTTTGCTTTTTTTGTTGTTGCAATTATTTTGTTCCAACATTTTGTTTAAAACGCTTTACCATTCTCTTTATTATATAAATTATTAGTATATAAATATTCTACTTTTAAGTTTGTGTGTGTGTGTGTGTGTGTGTGTGTGTGTGTGTGTGTGTGTGTGTGTGTGTGTGTGTGTGTGTGTGTGTGTGTTCTATATATAAAATTTTCTGTTAACAATGTATTTATTTGAAACAACATGTTAATATAAATAGGCACAAGGTCCATAAGTGCAGTTAAAAAAAAAATTATAAATCTAAAACACACCCAGTAAATTTAGAACTTAATACCAACAAAACAACTTATAAAAATCATTTTAAAGGTTGGTTATATGTGGTTTTAAAATCCTATACTACAATCTGATAGAGATTTTTAAGTTACAAGATTTTTGATCATTTCAATCATTTTTGCCACCGGCATGGTTAGATTTTGAGTAGAATAAGGCATAAAACATGTTTTTAGATAAAAGTTCAGAAGTTAGTAACTACTAATAAATTCATAGTTTTTGAGAGAAGAATAACAACAGCTAACCAAATAGAACCAATCTTTTGTTTTTAGTTCATGTTATTCTAATAAAAAAAATAAAATAAAATAAACATTTTTTGCTACCAAATAATGTTGCAAATTTATTTTTTTGCTGTTGTCAACGATACAATGAATTCCAACAGAATTGATAAACTGAAATAAGATCTGTAAACTAAAAAAAACCTTTCATACTTAATAGTAATATAATAATAAGGTATAGCTGTAACAGCTGGTGTAAACATTTGCAATAATGTGTAAAAACAGTAGATACTGCACTCTAACAGCTCAGTTTGTTTTTTGTTTATGATTTAACAATTACTAATAAGCTTGGAGTGGGTAGCAAAAACTTATGAAAATTAACAAATGTTTCTTTCTGTTTATTAAGAACTTAGGTATTATTAACATCTACTAATTATTTAGTTATTTTTCATTTTCATATTTTTTCATAAATCAATATATATGGGCAATATTAAGAAACATTGTGAAAGAGGAAAAATAAAGCAAAAAAGTTGTTGAAATACATGCTTAACTCCATAACTCTTTTTTTTTTTAACTATTTAAAAATACTTTAAATCAAAAAAATTTAAAAAAAATCATTTTTATAGTTGAAAGGATTGTATAAATGTGTTCAAAATTGAGTGTAGCAGCCTGCTACACTCAATTTTGAAAATGAAACATTGTTTGATTTTTGTTTTGGGTTAAAAACCATGTAAACTGTCTCTTGGAGTTAATAGACATGCTAATTAACAAGGCCTCATCATTAGTTGCATTCAATAAATTTTGTAGAGTGTGCTTCTGCAGAAAGAACCAAGATAGAGCTATATAGTACTATTTCGTCAGCATAAAAAAAATAAAATAAAAAAAATGTCACATCCAATAAGCATATTTGAAGTTCCAAATATTTCTATTTAGTTATGTAAAACTGGATACCAAATTATTTAATTATGTAAAACCTAAGCTGTTACTGTGATAAAATACCACCTTGTCCAACATCACTCCTAATACTAAAAGTAAGTGATTTAGCTATCTGTTAACTGATACAGATTTCTTGATTACTGTACCAGTATGCAAGCAGGCTTTCAAAATTTTTGATGTTCCTTGATCTAATAAGTTGCAAAACCAATAAGTAACTGCTTTATTAAACATGGCTGCCTGTACATGTATAGTAATTGAAAGCTGTCTTTAAATAACTTTTGCATAAGAATGTTTTTGTTTAAAACCAAATCAATAATCATCTTTTTTGTTTAATATATTTTTTGTAGGAAAATTTTTTCAAATATTTTCAATATAGTTAGGGGTACTGCAATAACCCTGTTCACATCAGGTTAGCCACACACAGCCACACGGATACACAGGACTCACTAGTACTAGTAGATGGTAAACACCCACACCTTAAACAAAGATTGAAATACTTGAAAGATTGTACTAATTAGAAGATGCAACCTATTTTCTATCAAAGCGTCCTTTTTTTCTTTCCTACCAAAGCTACATATGCCATCAAGACCAGTTGCATCTACTGCTTTTTGTTTTTTTATTCCTGTGAAAACCTTATTTATGTTAATATCTGCATGTACTTTGTACTTTAGTATTTTTTATTGCCCACACTAGCAATGTGGCTAACAACTTTGTTGTTACTAATGCGCTTTATACTGCTCCAGAATCTTTTTTCGATTTGTGTTGGAAAGATTTTTTACTCACTTATCAACTTTTAATTGCATTATAGCTCTTACAGTACCACAGAACTTCATTTTTTTTTAAAAATCACCTTGTTTTAGCTTATCATGTAGAATCCATAGTTTAAATAAATCTCTAGCAGAATCATGTTTGTCTATGGCAAAATTTCTTTCTCTGACAAATAGTATTTGCAAGTAAAAGCCGCAAAAAAAACTTAATCTTTTTGCTGAAAAAAGTTGCTAAATTATAGATTAATCAAAAAATAATTAATTTTAAAAAGTGGTGAGAATTTAAAATATCTGTACAGATTAATATTAATATATTCATACAGGTGCTATTCTAGACCATTTTCCTCAGCGCCAACTGTATTTGGGTGCCACCCAAATTCAGAAATAAAGGACCTTTTTTTTATCTATAAATCTAGGTCTTCCTATATTTATGAATGGTAATGTACTCGATGAGTTATCTGCCTTTTGTCTCTTGGATTAACTCTTACTTCCGATCTTTAGCTACTAATAAAATTGCATTTCTTTATCCTGCTTGCCACTTTCTTACTCTGGATTCTATTATTTATCTCTATAAATCTCAAATTGGTCCTTGTATGGAATACTGTTGCCATACCTAAAGCGAATCTTTGAATGATGCCTTTTCTCTTTTAGACAAAGTGCAAAAATGCATTGCAAACATAGTTGAACATGCTATTGCAGCCAACCTTTAAACTTTATCACATCTCTGCAATGTTGCTTCTCTTTCTCTTTTCTATAAATACTATAATGGGTGATGTGCCAAAAAGCTAGTGTCTCTTGTGCCATCTTGTTTTTTCTTTGAATATCAGTTCCTTGGAATTCACTCCCATCATCTCGTTTTCCTGATTCATATTATTTGCAATCTTTAAAGTCCAGTTTTTAAAGTAGGCCCTTGTTGTAGACATTTTGGATAATAGTGAATGCACCACTGAACATTTGTGTTAGAAATGTTGTGTGGAAAGGGGCCATCCATAAAGTACGTACAGAGGTATGGTGGGAGGGTTTTTTTTTAAAAGTGTACAAGCGCATACAAGGGGGGAAGGGGGAGTTAAAGACAGTGAGTACGTATGCGGTTTGACTATCTCTCCTAAGCATGTTTTTATTTTTTTTAAAACATTGAATTTCATGTGTGTAAAAAATCGGAATTGTTTTTTTATCTGACTTCAGTTACAATTTTTTTTATTATTTTATTATAAATAATGAGAAGAGAAAAAAGGAAATCAAGTTAATTTTGAAAAAAAAGTGTGTACATTTGGGAGGGGGGTCTAAATCAGCAATTTTACTGCGTACGTACTTTATGGATGGCCCCAAACACAAATCAGCTAAGCAGACTAGCACTCCTTTACATAGTCTGAGGATTTACTTATATAGGATAAACATTATTTCTTCTGTTGCATATGCAGATATTTCAACTTTATTATACTTTAGTGCAAGATAACCTCGTCTTTAAATCATAAAACTCCTTTTATTATTCTGTTTGCTCACATGGTTCTTATATAGGGCTTTAAGATACAAGACAATATTTTCTCTATATTTTATTAACAGGATATTTTACCAGAATATTTTATCTACTACTGTTGATCAACCTGGCAATTGCTTGTCCTCATGTAGACAGCTGTCTAAAATTTTCTAGTTCTATGAATTTAATTTAATCAACTTTCTAACCAAACATAATACTATTGAATGTGTTATTTAAGCAACCATCCTAAGGATTCAGCCATCTGTAAAAATTATCAAGTTTTACAGTCAGTATAATAAATAAAATAATAATAATAATAATAATATAATAAATATAATAACAGTATAATAAGTATAATAATAATAAATTGCACTATTAACAAATATTGGTTAGTACCAATCTTCCGTACGTAAGTGGGCAATATTTGAAATAGAATAATTTACTATATATATATATATATATATATATATATATATATATATATACATATATATATATATATAGCCTGCTGCTGGGGGCTTCAGTACAAACATCGACTGACAAATAGCCTGACTCGCAGTGGAGTGCTGCTACATCGACTGAGGGTTTGGGACGGGGAAGCAATTGTTTCATTCATCATTCTTTGTTTTTTCTTCTTCTTTTTTGAAAAAAACGGTATAGCTTAAGGTAAGCAGAAAAAGTGAGCAAATGCTTATCAAAACACGCTTTAGTAAGTGTATATATATATATATATATATATATATATATATATATATATATATATATATATATATATATATATATATATATATATATATATATATATATATGTATATATATATATATATATATATATATATATATATATATTTATGTATGTATATATATATATAAATATATATATATATATATATATATATATATATATATATATATATATATATATATATATATATATGTATGTATATATATATATAAATATATATATATATATATATATATATATATATATATATATATATATATATATATATATATTTAAACATTTAAATTCATCCATTAATTGTAAAACACTAACTAATTATGATTGCTTTCAGATTTTGGATACTGCCTCTACCATTAACAAATTAAAAATAAAAGAAGCACTT